ATAAACCATGGTTGATCACAGATTAAATCGCAATCATTTCGACATTGATGATAAAAATGAATAGTTACTTGTAAGAATGGATGTGACCTCTTCTAATAATGGAAACATGACACAGAATATGGTTAGCCAAATTGCGAGAGCTAAAGATCTTAGCTATTTTATTAAAGAACCAACGTCTTCAAATAGAGTTGACAAAGGAAAGGGTACTACTACTAGCTCCACTCAATAAGCATCTCGTAATCGCAAGCCATCAGACCATTCCCTAGTGTTATTCGTTGGTTGATGATGGTAAGATGGAAGAAGATTTGGGGTCTTGGAGGGACACTACAAAAAAGACGGCACTTAACGTCGGTTAACAAATGACGTGAATATATGGGGTTTCGGCTTATTTTTACCCGCACTCTAACCAAGTGCGAAAATTTATACCCACTTTGTTAAAGAGTGCGTAAAACTACCCAAACTCTTTATAATTTATATTTTCGTACCCAAACTAATTAAATTAAGTGTATTTATACCTCAGGGATTCGGTGTTAAATTCTCCGTTGACGGTGCTAACTAGGCATCTTATTCACAAAAACAGAGTTTATGACTCAGATTTATGTTTTTTTTTTTGAAAATATGAAACGACGTCGTTTCATGTTTTGTTTAGGAAAAAAAAAATTAATTATCTGGNAAGATTCCGGCTAGTATTTGTCAGTTACCGAAGCTTGAGAACTTTACTTTTAGTTACAATTTCTTTACCGGAGAAGTGCATGTGTGTCTTAGATTGCCGGAGTTTGATGATCGGAGAAATTGTTTGCCGGGAAGACCTGCTCAGAGGTCTCCAGGTCAATATAAAGCGTTCTTGTCTCCTCCTGCGGCAAATTGAGGATCGTTTAGTTGTGGTCGTTGTGTTTCGTTTCGTCCTCCGATTTTGATTTTTTTTTCTAAACAAGACATGAAACGACGTCGTTTCATATTTTTTTTAAAAAAAATTTAAACATAAATTTGAGTCATAAACTCTGTTTTCGTTTGGGTACGAAAATATGAATTATAAAGAGTTTGGGTAGTTTTACGCACTCTTTGACAAAGTGGGTAGAAATTTTTGCACTTAGTTTGAATGCAGGTATAAATAAGCCGAAACCCCAGAGTTTGGGTAGTTTTACGCACTCTTTGACAAAGTGGGTAGAAATTTTCGCACTTGGTTAGAGTGCGGGTAGAAATATGCCGAAACCCCTGTGAATATATACGCGTCTGTTAACAAAGCGTCGTAACATTATCCAACGCTAATTATTTTAACGTCACTTAAACAAATGACGCGTAGTTTCACGTCAAAAAAAATTCGACGGTTTTAGTGTATGTTTTGAGTCATTTAGACAATCGACGCAAAGTCTATTCTGAAAAATATATAATTCTGCAGATTATCATTAAACTCAGATCTCCACGAAATCGCGTGGAAAAAAAGTTATTTGTTAAAATACAATTAAAAATATATTTAATCTGATAATAAATAGAAAAAAATCATTTTAAGCTACACCAACTATTAGCTAATATGTTGCAAATCATCCAAAATATTGAAATATTCTTTAAACTACATATACTAATATATAATACATGGTGACATGACTCTCTCTCTCTCAGGCACGAAGACCGAGGCAGCCACCGGATCAAGCATCACCGAGAATATGAAGCTCCTCCACTGTAGCTCCACCGCCGATCAGCCGTCTTTGTGAACATCGCATAGTTTCTCCTTTCTCGGGCCTTTCATTAGCTTGCCCGAAGAACTTTTTCTCACCTTCCGTCGGAGATTATCATCGCCGGCGAGATCTATTACACAAGCTTCGTTACAACACTTCGAATCAGCGCCTCCATGAGCTTCTATGACGTTGCATCGATGTTTGGTAACGAAATTTCAGGCCTCGTTCCAACAAATCGAACAAATCTGTTCGTGCTTCATGCTCACCTTCGGGTGAAGATCAATCTGAACCGGCCTCTACCACCGAAACCGCCTGACCCCCCGGACCCTCCGGATCCTCATCTACATCTGGAACCCACCAGATCCATCTCTCGGTATTTCGCCTCCGTCAATTTTAATCCCTTCGCTTCCCTTGTTGTTGTCGCAAGCCTTGCAGCTCCGACGATTTTTCCCAGATGTTATCACCGCCGACACTTAGTAACAGATTCTGCAACCACCGGAGTGGTCGCAAATCCGACGAACCTTCCCATCGGCTTCCCCTTCATCGACAACATCACTTGTTATTTGGGTGAACTGGGCTTGGCCCATTCTGTTGATGTGATGGGATTATAGGGGCCTAGAAAAATTTATAAAAGATCTCAGCAGCCCACTTATGCCTCGATCTACTCTTGTATTGAGAATCATGTTGCACAACCTTACTCTCGCAGTAGATCACTTGTAGGCTTTTCTTTGCGCAGTCCGTTGAGGTCCATGACCTCTACTCAAATTTCCTCCATATCGGACATGGAGAGATCTTTATCACCATCCTCCCTCTTCGGGGAGAGAACTTTTTCATCACATCCCCTTTCTATGAAAGGTGGTTTTTACTCGGTTCCAATACCGAAGAAAAATTTCAACATACTCATCGTTTGGTCTTCTTGTGTAGCGGTCTCCATGGGACCAGAAGAAGCCATCCGTTTCGTTTCGACGCGATCCGGAGATGAGAATTGGTATTCAACGTCACACTTTAAAGTGACTAAGTTTCAACATTCCGGCTATGCCGTGAATTCTCTACCGACGCATTCGAGTTTCGCTTCAAATTCGCTGTCAATCTTTTATGAAGAATTATCTGTTTTCTTTGTTTTAGTTTGTTTTATTGTAGCAACCAAAGAGGATGATGTCCCCTCTTCTTCATGTATCTCCAAATTTTAAGTTAATGAAGTTAAGTTTGTCCAAAAAAAAAAATACATGGTGACATACACTAACTATATGTAAACATGTTAAAAAAATACAAATTAGAGTTTTTTGATAATTTTATTATATTTTGGGGTCAATATGTAATTTTTTTTAATCATTTAAAAAATCCAAAAAAGAAATAAAAACACAAAAATCCAAAAAATAGAAAAAATCAAAAAAACTTTCAAAAAATTAGATAGCATAATAATTCAATTTTCGATTAAAAAAATTAAAAATATTTTCAGCTTTGAAATTAGAAAAAACAAATTAAATCCCAAAATTTCTAAGATTCAA